CAATATATACCAAATTTTATGTTGTGTTTATTTAAACATAATTAGGCAGCTTATATAGTTGCTTGCTTGCATTTCTCAAATGTACTTTAATTTTTAAAAATGTATATAATATATATGGCAGTTAAATGGGCATGCTAAACCCTTTTTGCGATTAGGACATTCCATGCTGTCCTAGAAATAGTGAGCTTTAATGCTGTTTGACGACAAGAAGGAAGGGGGAGCTATAATGCCAGGAAAACAACTTTAGTTTCTCTTTGTTTTACAGCGCAGTGTTTTTACTTTATATATTTGTATCTCCTGCTCTGTTAATTTAACTTTAATCACACACAGAAGGCTTTTGCATGCTCCAAAACACTTAGCAGGGCAGGGGATAAGACATTCTAAGTTAAACACACTGTAGAATAAAGGAAGCTAAAAAATTTAGACTTCTTTTCTAGGAAGTGTGCAGAGAAGCTGTGCAAGCTTCAGACAAGAAAGGTGTGGCTAAAACTGCATAAACAAAGTGATTTAAGACTACACAGACATGATCTATACACCAAAACCACTTCATACATACAAAATAATGTTTTGTGATTAGAGTGTCCCTTTAAGGATGACTGACTATAGTTAAAGGAGGGTTTCACTCTTTACCATAATCTTCATCCTAAAATTTGTATAAAAAACTTGATAATTCTAGATAATTCCTGGTTTTGTGATCAGACCCATCACTTCCATTCTAAGGATGAAGATCACAATAATTTCTTGTATTTATTTATAAAAATTAATATTTATCCACTATAGATGAAAACTATAGCTGACTCTTTATTAAGGCATTTCTTCCCAAAATTTCCCAACTCCCGTTTTTGATCCACCATAAGTGATGTGATACTGGTTGTATTTGGTTCAGAATGTAAACCCTCTATCCATTAAGAGGGAGAAATTGCAACAGTGACAGGTCGGGCAAAATAGAAAAATGTTGTAGAGTAATATTTGTAATTGTATCCAAATCACAATGGTGTTTATCTCTCGCATCTCTACTTTTGTCAGTTCAGTTATTAAAGCAGATGTTTGATGTCATTTTTAAATAAATCTTTTAAAATACAGAGGCTGCGGCATTAATTCATATTTTGACAAACCGTTAATTTAAATAATTAAACAATCATTTCAGTGGGATTCAGCACAAAATACTAAAAGGCATTCGAATTTCAATCATTTGTACCCAGTGCAATATTTTTACTCATTGTAATGTTTTCAAATATCCCCAGATATACGTCTTGCTGGAAGGAAAATGTAAAAGCAAATGGTTTTAGGAGACCACAGAGCACGGAGTGAACATGCCCAAAGGCTTTATTTTGCAATGGAATCTATGCATATTGATAACATGCAGACAATGCCACCAAGACCGGATCATGAACATATTTCCTGACTTCCAGAAGAATACTTCTACAGTGTTTTCCTAATATTTCATTGTATTATTTAGCTTATGATCTTTATGAGCTCTAGAAATATGAGTCATTTACAGGGAGTGCAGAATTATTAGGCAAATGAGTATTTTGACCACATCATCCTCTTTATGCATGTTGTCTTACTCCAAGCTGTATAGGCTCGAAAGCCTACTACCAATTAAGCATATTAGGTGATGTGCATCTCTGTAATGAGAAGGGGTGGTCTAATGACATCAACACCCTATATCAGGTGTGCATAATTATTAGGCAACTTCCTTTCCTTTGGCAAAATGGGTCAAAAGAAGGACTTGACAGGCTCAGAAAAGTCAAAAATAGTGAGATATCTTGCAGAGGGATGCAGCACTCTTAAAATTGCAAAGCTTCTGAAGCGTGATCATCGAGCAATCAAGCGTTTCATTCAAAATAGTCAACAGGGTCGCAAGAAGCGTGTGGAAAAACCAAGGCGCAAAATAACTGCCCATGAACTGAGAAAAGTCAAGCGTGCAGCTGCCACGTGCCATTTGCCACCAGTTTGGCCATATTTCAGAGCTGCAACATCACTGGAGTGCCCAAAAGCACAAGGTGTGCAATACTCAGAGACATGGCCAAGGTAAGAAAGGCTGAAAGACGACCACCACTGAACAAGACACACAAGCTGAAACGTCAAGACTGGGCCAAGAAATATCTCAAGACTGATTTTTCTAAGGTTTTATGGACTGATGAAATGAGAGTGAGTCTTGATGGGCCAGATGGATGGGCCCGTGGCTGGATTGGTAAAGGGCAGAGAGCTCCAGTCCGACTCAGACGCCAGCAAGGTGGAGGTGGAGTACTGGTTTGGGCTGGTATCATCAAAGATGAGCTTGTGGGGCCTTTTCGGGTTGAGGATGGAGTCAAGCTCAACTCCCAGTCCTACTGCCAGTTCCTGGAAGACACCTTCTTCAAGCAGTGGTACAGGAAGAAGTCTGCATCCTTCAAGAAAAACATGATTTTCATGCAGGACAATGCTCCATCACACGCATCCAAGTACTCCACAGCATGGCTGGCAAGAAAGGGTATAAAAGAAGAAAATCTAATGACATGGCCTCCTTGTTCACCTGATCTGAACCCCATTGAGAACCTGTGGTCCATCATCAAATGTGAGATTTACAAGGAGGGAAAACAGTACACCTCTCTGAACAGTGTCTGGGAGGCTGTGGTTGCTGCTGCACGCAATGTTGATGGTGAACAGATCAAAACACTGACAGAATCCATGGATGGCAGGCTTTTGAGTGTCCTTGCAAAGAAAGGTGGCTATATTGGTCACTGATTTGTTTTTGTTTTGTTTTTGAATGTCAGAAATGTATATTTGTGAATGTTGAGATGTTATATTGGTTTCACTGGTAATAATAAATAATTGAAATGGGTATATATTTGTTTTTTGTTAAGTTGCCTAATAATTATGCACAGTAATAGTCACCTGCACACACAGATATCCCCCTAACATAGCTAAAACTAAAAACAAACTAAAACTACTTCCAAAAATATTCAGCTTTGATATTAATGAGTTTTTTGGGTTCATTGAGAACATGGTTGTTGTTCAATAATAAAATTAATCCTCAAAAATACAACTTGCCTAATAATTCTGCACTCCCTGTAGAAATAAAAAAGCAAGTGTTACGTACCCTAGTTCCCTCGCCACCCTGTTCTCGGCACTGACGCCCCACCTCCCTAGCTAAAATCCACAAAAAGCATTGTGGGGACTAGTGTACACGTGCCGCAAATTTTCGCACTGTGCTATTCAAATGCTGCTGCAGAATTTGATTGATAACTGAGTTTGAGTCACTTCTCTCAGGGAAGGGCCTCTAGCGGTTTTCAGGAAACAGCCACAAGAGCTGTGTTTAAAGGCCATGGCATCGAGATCACTTTATTGAGATAAAGTGGTCTGGGTGCATTTAGTGGTCCTTTAGACATTATAAAATTGAGCACAGTTTATCGCCATATTGTTATATACAGGGAGTGCAGAATTATTAGGCAAGTTGTATTTTTGAGGATTAATTTTATTATTGAACAACAACCATGTTCTCAATGAACCCAAAAAACTCATTAATATCAAAGCTGAATATTTTTGGAAGTAGTTTTTAGTTTGTTTTAGTTTTAGCTATGTTAGGGGGATATCTGTGTGTGCAGGTGACTATTACTGTGCATAATTATTAGGCAACTTAACAAAAAACAAATATATACCCATTTCAATTATTTATTATTACAGTGAAACCAATATAACATCTCAACATTCACAAATATACATTTCTGACATTCAAAAACAAAACAAAAACAAATCAGTGACCAATATAGCCACCTTTCTTTGCAAGGAGACTCAAAAGCCTGCCATCATGGATTCTGTCAGTGTTTTGATCTGTTCACCATCAACATTGCGTGCAGCAGCAACCACAGCCTCCCAGACACTGTTCAGAGAGGTGTACTGTTTTTCCCTCCTTGTAAATCTCACATTTGATGATGGACCACAGGTTCTCAATGGGGTTCAGATCAGGTGAACAAGGAGGCCATGTCATTAGATTTCCTTCTTTTATACCCTTTCTTGCCAGCCATGCTGTGGAGTACTTGGATGCGTGTGATGGAGCATTGTCCTGCATGAAAATCATGTTTTTCTTGAAGGATGCAGACTTCTTCCTGTACCACTGCTTGAAGAAGGTGTCTTCCAGGAACTGGCAGTAGGACTGGGAGTTGAGCTTGACTCCATCCTCAACCCGAAAAGGCCCACAAGCTCATCTTTGATGATACCAGCCCAAACCAGTACTCCACCTCCACCTTGCTGGCGTCTGAGTCAGACTGGAGCTCTCTGCCCTTTACCAATCCAGCCACGGGCCCATCCATCTGGCCCATCAAGACTCACTCTTATTTCATCAGTCCATAAAACCTTAGAAAAATCAGTCTTGAGATATTTCTTGGCCCAGTCTTGACGTTTCAGCCTGTGTGTCTTGTTCAGTGGTGGTCGTCTTTCAGCCTTTCTTACCTTGGCCATGTCTCTGAGTATTGCACACCTTGTGCTTTTGGGCACTCCAGTGATGTTGCAGCTCTGAAATATGGCCAAACTGGTGGCAAGTGGCATCGTGGCAGCTGCACGCTTGACTTTTCTCAGTTCATGGGCGGTTATTTTGCGCCTTGGTTTTTCCACACGCTTCTTGCGACCCTGTTGACTATTTTGAATGAAACGCTTGATTGTTCGATGATCACGCTTCAGAAGCTTTGCAATTTTAAGAGTGCTGCATCCCTCTGCAAGATATCTCACTATTTTTGACTTTTCTGAGCCTGTCAAGTCCTTCTTTTGACCCATTTTGGGAAAGGAAGTTGCCTAATAATTATGCACACCTGATATGGGGTGTTGATGTCATTAGACCACACCCCTTCTCATTACAGAGATGCACATCACCTAATATACTTAATTGGTAGTAGGCTTTCGAGCCTATACAGCTTGGAGTAAGACAACATGCATAAAGAGGATGATGTGGTCAAAATACTCATTTGCCTAATAATTCTGCACTCCCTGTAGGGAAGGAAGATGTCTAATTGTTAGAAATTGTTAGAAGTAGCGTTAGGAATACACAATCTCTTTAACAAGTTCCGGAGAACTGATACATTTCTTTTTCATTGGCATTGGCATAATGTCGAATGTTGCAGAATAAGTTAATCCCTGCTGGGTTTTTTTTTATGCACAATACCTTTCTAAGTGCATCCAATTTGTGTCTCATGACAAACTGTTGCATGCTCCATTCCAGAACAATCATTTACATTTTTGCAAAATGACTGTCTTTACCTTTACCTTAACCCTTTAATGACCGGCGCCGTGCCATATGTGCCATGATTCAATGGTATTTGCTTAAACCCATGTCATGAAAGTGTTAATTCTATCTCATTACATTATCTATATGCATAATGCTTGTCTATATTAACATCCAGGCACCGGTTCAATATCTTCAATCTCCACTTCATTAGCCAAAGTATGTATAATGGAAGAAACTAGTCCCATCTATTCTTTTATGTTTTTATATATATATATATATATATATATATATATATTTTTTTTTTTTTTTGCTTATTACTGTTATATATATATTAATGTTGGTAAACTGGTTTCTGGCTGGGAAAATCTGATCTGCAGAATTTGAAATGTACAGTGCTTATATATTCCTATTCATATTCACTCTGCTTTTTAAAATGTGAAAATTCAGGATATAGTGAAGACTTGCCTGCCATGTCATAAATATTTACTTTTTTTCAGTATTCTGCTCTGGAATGTTCACAGAATTAATGATTCACTTATTGTTTTACACAAGAAAATGATGAAAGCAGTAAAGGAACACGTTCCACTAGTCATATCCTGCTATTAATATAATGACCACAGCCTGTTCTTATAATGATGGGAATTCCATCTCATTGCATGTGTCACTATACTACTTAAAAAAATGATTTTAAAAGATTTGCTGGAAATATTACTAACTTGTTCTTTCACATTTTAAGTTGCTGAATCCCATATGATATCCCCCAGCCAAAATGGTGACATATAATAGTATAGATAATAGCACACACCGTGTTTATAAAAGTGATGCTCCACAATGGATTTGACCCTTTGGGATTTATGTCACTAAACTGATCTGCTATAATTTAAAAGTTTAGACAATGTTTTGACTTAGAATCCAGATCAGATTCCTTTTGGGTTGAGCATCCCTGCCAGCCCACCAGCTTTAAAAGCCCTTTGGAGGTGACCAAAGGAGGTTTTGGATAGTAATGTCACTTTAATTATAATTTTCATAGAGAAGATATAAGATATGTATTGTGGGTATATACATCAAAGCACTATCACTTTAATTGTTTAGTTTTGACACTGCATTTTTTTTTTATCACATTAAAGGACCACTATAGTCTCCCAGACCACTTCAGCTCAATTAAGTAGTCTGGGTGCCAGGTCCCCCAGGTTTTAACCCTGCAGCTGTAAACATAACAGTTTCAGAGAAACATTCCGCGGCACCCCTGTGCACACAGGGGTGCCGCGGAATGTTTCTCCAGTGCTATGATTATAGGACCGGGGAAACATTATTGCTTAACAGGGACCTTTAAGGTCGCAACCAGGCCTCTGTAATTTCGGCCAGCTGGGAGGAAATGACAGCCTGTCACTTCCTACCAGCATCCTGCAGGGAGACTGTGCGGGAGGGAGAGGAGGCAGCCGCAGCGTCAGCGTGAGGGGAGAGGAGCACAAAGAGCTCCAGACCTCTCACTCCCACTAGCAGCAGGACTCCAAGTCACCCTCCTGGCACATAAGGTAAGCTGACAGGAGGGTGGCTGGAGATATTAAAAAAAAAAATCACTTGTATGTGTGTTAGTGTGTGTATGACTATATACATTCACCCCTTCAAACACCAACACTGTACATTACACTATAGCGCCAGTAAATGCAGCAGCGCTGTACAGATATGCAACCTAGAAATTTTGACTTGGGATGCCTTGGAAAAATACTGAAATATTAAGGGCGCCTTGAACCTATAAAATGTGGGAACCACTGCATTAGCATGTACCCAAATAGTGACTGATGCAAAACCCAGAAGTGGGTATGGTATGTGTGTATCTGGGGTCACGTGGATGTGCTGGGTAATTTAAAATTATTATTTTTAGAAAACATTTTTTTATATTTTTGGAAGGTAGCGGTTGTTGGTGCCCAGCGACCACTAAGGTTTTTTTGTCTCCAGATGTCTGAGATCAAACCATGCTCTGGACACAATCAGAGCCAGCAAGTGAAATGAATACAACATTTACCTTACAGTAATGTATAGTGAGTAAGTTAAAATTCATATTCCAGTCTGTCACTGTGTCAATTTATTCACTTCTGCTGATCTCTGTATTCTGTCGGATTGTCTGAAGATTCTAAGGATGACAACATGTGCAGAAAAAACCCCCACAAAGACATCTAGACAGCAATTTGTCAGTGCTTACTTCTACTTATTTGTTTATCTATGAATGCATTATATAGAAAAATTATATCTGGAGGTAAACGTGGGAGGGAATCATGAGCAGCCACCATGATGGCTGGTTATAACGTCAAGCCAGCATCTGTTCAAAACATTAGAAGCTTCATTATTCGATAGAATAACATTGCACATGTTCTGCACGGCATAAATAGGAGATTTTTTTTTCCATGTTTCTTTTCACATAAGAGCTGCTGTGATTACGCTGTGTGAAACAGCTGCAGAAAGCAAATTGGGTTGAGCAGTAGTTGGTCAGATAGCAGGAGAGTCTGACCAAACATTACTGCTCAGCCAGATAGAAAGGTGAAATTATCTCAAAAAATATATCATGGTGAGGACAGTGCAAAAACAGTGTATAGGTGTATCCAAAATTGTCACTTGTTTCAAAATAAAGAAGTACTCTAGGTACCATAGCAACTGCAGAATGCTGAGACAACAGCCACTGTTCCACCACAAACAGTCAAAATAGTTTTCACGGTCCCTGTGAGCTGAGAGCTAGCTAATCAGGGATTTATTGTGATTTCCAGAGCCTCTAGCACTTTCTGTTGAGTTTGTCCATACTCTTACAGACAGCTTGACTTGTATATCTTTTATCCTGATCTCTGCTTTCCCTGGCTATTCTGTTATCTACTTTTGCTGACCTGGCTCGGCAAATATGTTTTCCCTCTTTTTAGCGTCTGGGTTCCTGAAATTCTCTGACTATTCTAAGACCTTTCTTTATTGGGAACATGGCTCACTTTTATACACACCACCTGAACATAAGGGCGATGGTTAGAACAATGAAAGTCCCAACCTGGTTCCTCTGAGTCTGGAAGATAATTAGATCAGTAACTGCTAGCTAATTATCTCCCAGTTGGTAACTGTAAACTATCTCCCCCCAAAAAAACATAAATTACCCCCACATGTCTTATATTCCCAGATAACGTTCCCCCTCCGCTTCCCTTGGTCAAAAGAGCGTTCTTCATGGCTGTGTCAGGTTGGGGAAAGGTCAGGGAGTTTGAGAACAGCTCGTAAGGGGAGATAATGTCTCTTCGTAGTGGCAGAACTGCGGTTCTGTCACAAGCAAGTTCAGGATTTTTTGCCCCACTTTAATTCTTGCGTTAATTCCAACCATTCTAAGGATCAATAGTATAATGATGTAATTTATATTTCCTGTGGTGTTATCAGACAAGATTCTACATTTTGGGGTTGACCTTCTATCCTTCACAGATACGATACTTACTTCCGTTGTTCTGTGATATCTCTAAAATGGATGTTTCCATTCCTCTTCAGTAAAATCGGTTTTGTCCTGCTTCTAGGCTCATTCATTGATGCTACTGACTGTCTCAGTCAATGAATTAGGTCTTAACAGGGACAAAACTTACATTTATAAAGCAAAAAGGAAACTTCCACTTAAGCAATGTAACAGAAGACTTGAAGGACTGCAGTAAGGGGGTACCTATATAAGTGTCAGGCCAATCGAAAATAGTGTTCCTCCTTAAGGTGGGATGGCTCCAGGAACCTTTGACACCATAACCTCTACAATGTGCTGTAGTAGCTATGGTGCTCAGCATGCCAATTTAAACAATAATTTGGAGCTACCATGAAGGGAAAAACATTGTTGACTGACAAAGACCAGGTTGCACTATGGTTGAACTAAATTTTTATGTTCTGCAGTGCTTTCCACATCCTTTACAGATGCCAGTATTTATGTTCCATCTTTTATCTTTATAATTGCCTAATTATAGATGGATTGGATTGCCCTGTATCATCAATTTATATAACATAAAACACAAATAAAAGCAAGCAGAGCAAGCACTACTACTGTGAAAATCATCATTTCAATCGATGTTCGAGTCTAATTTTGCTTCATATAAGATAAAGCTTTTGTTACATGATTTACCGCTGGTTCCCTTGACAATTTCCACTTATGAATGTACTTTAAGTACATGACATGCATTGCAACAACCCTCATCAACAACAGCAAAACGGACACAAAAAGGAAATTACCTTTTAGATGTGCACATTATAGTATTATTTACACATTATTAGCAATATGAAAGGCTGTGTTTGCAGCCAATATTATATAAAACATATAGTTTTTTTAAACCATTATAAATGCATGCGCATACTTCTTTTACAACATAATATTAACATGCACATACTACCACGACTGTAAAATTAAAATAAGACTTGTTTAGAGATGCATTTTTAATATAAATTATTATACAGACATACAGTTATGCACACATCTTACATCTTATACATGACACAGAATGTTTTCAAATTCTGAAAAATACATGGCTCAATTTGAATATGTCGGTCTATAAGAAGCCAACTGAAATAAACAGACTTTGTAATTAATGCGCTTGTTCTAGGTGTTTTAACATTAGAATCATTCGCTGGAAAATACTATAATGTATTTAAGAAGGATTAGATCAGAAGGAAACATAAGAAGACATTTCAAGAATAACATTAATGTGTATCTGTTTGAAAACTAAAAGGTTATTTAAAAACATGACATATTTTACATCACTAGGATAGGCAAATTTAGAAATCTAAACACATCAGTATTTGTAATATGTTTGAGGCTACTACAGAGCCTCTATGTGATATTTAGTGACTATATGCAATCTTTGGGACTATTCCTGAGTAAGGACCTGGGTAGAGCAATAAATGAGACTGAAAAAGTACATACAATTTAATTTAAAAAAAAACAGATAAAGAAAAACCAACACATTTTTATATAATAAAAATGCATTAACAAACAATTACTTATCATTATTTCATAAAAACAAAATCTTTATGAAATGCTCATATTAAGGGTGTTGTAGTTTCTTTGGAAATCCAACACACTTAAAAGATATTGCAAGACAAAATAGGGACTGCTTTATCTTTTGGTAAAGCCCGAGGTTGCCAAAATTTGACATAAGGCATAATTTTTTGCCAGTTTCCACAACTGTCACAAGACTTGGTGTATGATGGCTCCTGCGGTCTCACAGATTCCTCCATAGACTCCAGTATTGTAGTTTCGCACATGCAGCGTGCTGCACTGATGTGAGCTCCTTTTGGATGAAGTGCCAGGAGTTGAAGAGGGAAGATGGTGGTGCCCAACAGGGACAAGAATAATTTATCTCTGGTGCACCCCCGTGCCACCACAATCCAAGTGACGAGATCACCCTCAAGGGTCTTAACACCAAGAACTATGGCAGACCAGCTTTAAAGATGAAAGAATAGCAGATTTCATGCACAGAGAGTGTGTTCTTCCATAGTCTCTTGTATGATAGTGAGCATGTTTTTGTGGCTATTTGAGTCTATTTAATTTGTTCATTTTCCAGAGTTTCCTGGACCAACATATTTTAAATGAACACTATGAGCACTATGCTCTGCTGTAGGTGGTTAAATATCTCTCGAGTACCTCAATGCCCATTGCATGACCAAATAATGAATGCTGATATAATCTTTAATAAAAATGGAAATTGTTTTGCTGCTTGCACACAATTAAGATACGTTGGTAGAAGTTCAGGAAGATTTTAATTATATTCAGATATAAAAATGAAGAAACAAAATGTAGAATAGCTTCAATAATGTTTTTTTCAGTAAGAGGTTTGGCATATTTTAATGTTGCTTTTATAGATCTTTCAGAATCAGGAAGCTTTTAAAAACACTGCTGTAAAATATTTTGTTCAATTAGTATTTAAAATGTGCCACAGTCATATCCTTTATCCTGTACAGACAGAATGTTTTCAGAGAGTCTGCAGAGTGCGTACAACTATTCTCTGTATTATACATATACAGCATGTCTCATTTAAACTAATGGTGGTAACCAGGTGAAGGGTGACAAATCTTGGTCTGGGGTGTACATTGTAATATAATTTGGTTTGGGAGTTCAGGACTTTGGACACTCATTAATTAGACCATTCTGCTTGTCTGAATATCGTCCGTAAAAAATATTCAGCAAAATGACTATGATGAAAATGGGCCAATTAGTGTATTTGTAAAATATACACATTATATAAATATTATTAATATATTTATTGCAGTACACTGATAGCTGCATTTTTCTGTCATTTGGTTCACAGATCAAGTGAGAAAAAGTAGCCAATAGAGGAAAAAAGAGGAGGAGTAGTACAAAAATCTACATTTATATATTTCTATTAAATATATATTTATTAAATATATAATATATAAGTATATCAATATCAATTTTCCTTACTGCCCTTCTTTTTATTCCCTGTAATGGTCATTTTTCCCTTGATCCGTTTTTCCCATGCATTGTGCAACTCGTTTGCTTGGTTATATATACATATTCCTAACTGATTTTTTTTTGCTCATAAATCTCACAGATGTCTATATGGATCGATTTCTTTAGTTGTAGCTATGAAACATGACATTATATATTCTTTCCAAGTAGCAAAAAAGGGGACTGCACTCATAGTTCTCATACTGTACAGGTGTCAGAGAACTGCTCCAAAACAAGGGGCTGGGGTTCCCAAAACTGTAGTTGCAAAATAGAAGAAGATGCGGGCACTCAAAACACTTTTTAGTGCAGACTTTTTAAGATACTGCAGGTTAAGAAGTGACAAGGTTCGGAAAACGTTAGGCGTCACAAAACCATGCAATTATATATTCTTTCAACCTCCGTCCACACGATCTTGGCAGCATGGGGGACAATTCACAAAAATCTGTGCATGTCTAAGAGATGCAACTACATTTCCCATGAGTCCAATGCCACCAATGATATCTTAAGCACCATCTCATCTCACTCTATGGCCATTTCGAAAAACATTTACAGATACCATATATACCCATTACAGTCCAACAGCCTGCTTAGCCCCGAACTTGCGTACCACCAACTCAAGCACAAAGCAACCCACACAATAGTGTGGCTAGTAAGGGCCCTGCACAATGTGTATCTACTGCCTTTAGTCTTGAAGTCCAGGCATTGCTATCTGAACAGGAAGATTCTTCAATGTTCCCTATTTGGTTGCATTATATGGGTTACATTATAACCAGGCACTTGCCATGCCAAATACTATATATAAAACACACTAAACTCTGTAGAAACCTAGTGTCTTCACAAGTGTGGAGATTCCAAAATGAAATTTTTGACATCCAATGATAGCTCTGAAAGATAGTATCCGGACAAATTAGCATTGTATCTAATAACACGTATTAAGGCTTGGTATTGTTTATAGAGAAAATATGGCAATGGATTCATAAATGCACGACAAAGGGCTTTATTCATTATTATTATAACTTACCTCTATAGACACTACTTAAAGGAACATTTTAAATGCCTGCTTTAGTGGTTATGGTACCAGGATTACCCAGCACACTCATTCACCCTGTAAATAGTCAAAACCTTTTTGCATGATCTGACATCATACCTGGGGTCTGTTAGCACTGCTCCTCACCTCCAATCCTAACGCTGGAGACCCAGATGTTTTGAATAGGCTGACACTCTCTAATGAGCTAAGCACAGGCCTGCCCTACAGGAAAACTAATGGAAGCTTCTCCATAGGAACTTCCGTCTCTCCAGCGGAGGTGGAAGTGCAGCGTGGTGCCTGGCATAACCTAGGTAAAACGTCCAACCATTCTAAAATGGTTGAAATGGCACTTCTGGCACCATAATCACTTCAACAAGCTATATTGCTTATAGTCTGTGGATTGTTCCATTAAAATGTCAACAAAAGCTGAAATAGACAAATACAGATGAGATTATAATAAAAATGTATGTAAGCATAACAGAAAGCCAAACAGAAATAAGATACAGTGTGGTCTAGCGTGCTTGATGTGGAGTATCAGCAGAAGCACATTGTAAGTCTCACATACACACCATCCATAATACAATGTAAGTCAAGTATGTTGACAACTAGAGGCATATTACATAGAATCATATGCAAGAATGCATTAGAGTTTGTTTGGACACTACTTATGGTGAATATATCTAATAAACATGCTTTTATCCTCAGTCTGAAAACCATGTGAATTAGTGATTTACTTTTCATGTTCCATGGTAATGCCTTTATTTTTCAATTGTTTCCGCTAATGGGTTTTCTGTTATCATGTGCATGAAAATAATTCTCGTTTAGCTGTATTATGTCCTCCTGTCATTTCATTTCTGCCTCATTTGTTATTTGCTTTTTTCTTAGAATTCTGTAACTGACAGATATTACAACAAAAAGTTTGGAACATTGGGAAAAAAATTACAATATATATCCCATGCAAATCAATTTATAACTTTTTTGACATGCATTTTTCTGTTTTTATTTTTGTTATCCTGTCTCTCACTGTTAAAATAAACCTACCATTAAAATTATAGACTTATTATTTCTTTCTCAGTGGGCAAACGTTCAAAATCAGCAGGGGATCAAATACATTTTTCCCTCACTGTATGTGTTTTCTAACTACATATCTTTTCCTATCATAAGGTATAATACTTTGGATTTTGTAAATTTTAAATTATTAGGACGGGGCTGTCCCCTGGGTCTGGCAGAGTAATCCAAAATTGACACACATCAGTTGAACACCACTGGA